GCAGGAATCATAAGGGGCTTTCAGCACTGTCTGCTCTGTCAGCGAGCAGACAGGATGCGGTTTGAAGTCTGAGTTGGGGGGCTGGTTCTCTGCCCGGGTTTGTGGCGGGAAAGTCAGGGGTCAACCCGTAGAATTCTTCCACACATTTTTCCTGTGGCTGCGAACACGTGTCTAACTCAGGGTTAATATTTTGGGTCAGAATCAGGGTTTGGTAGCATTCCTCTCTCACCTAGAGACTGAGCTCAAACGTATAGCAATGTTGGTTTTGCAGCCGAGATACTTTCCAAGCTTGTGCCTTTTACATTTTTATCCGTGACCTCTCTTTGCCCAGGGTTTTTCATATTTCACCACAATTTTTCAAACAAATGGAGATTGCCAGGCGGATGGTGGGGCTTCCCAAGGATCACACGTGCTGGGTCACCCGGAGGTGGCCTCACTGGCTGTCCCTCACCGGGGGCCACGGAGGAAGCCCCACCTCTGGGAAGCTGGCCGTGCCACCCTGAGCCTCCTGGCCCCTGGGGTGTCCGCAGGCCCGGACTGTCCTGGAGGGCCCGTTCCTTTTGTTTGCCAGGAGCTGCAGCAGGACTGGGATTTCATTGTATGATGTGGGGTGCCAGCCCAAGTCAGCAGGTGCGCCTGGAGATGCCTTTTTTTTTTTTTTTTTTTTTTTTGTTTTTTGGTGTGGAACATTTTTAAAATCTTTATTGAATTTGTTACAATATTGCTTCTGTTTTATATTTTGGGATTTTGGCTGCTAGGCATGTGGGATCTTAGCTCCCCTACCAGGGATCCTCTCACTGTTGTGGCCTCTCCCACTGCGGAGCACAGGCTCCGGACGCACAAGCCCAGTGGCCACGGCCCACGGGCCCAGCCACTCCGCGGCACGCGGGATCCTCCCGGACCAGGGCACGAACCCGTGTCCCCTCCACCGGCAGGCAGACTCTCAACCACTGCGCCACCAGGGAAGCCCTGGAGATGCCTTTTAAGCTCACGTCGACCGCGAGTTCGTCCTAAGTGGTCTCAGCACGGAGTGTGAAGGGATGTCCAACGCCCACGTGGCCATCTGTCCAGCTCCCGGTCTCCATCCTCAGGAAGCTCGTCTTCTTTACTATTTCCCTGTCACATGGTGACATCAGTAAGCATCTCCTCATGCAAGCGGATGCATAATCTCCATCGTACCTCCTGTGTCTGTGAATCTGACAGCTCTTGGGACCTCATATGAGTAGAATCAGACAGTCTGTGTCCTTCTGTGCCTGGCTTATGTCACTGAGCATCATGTCCTCAAGGTTCACCGTGTTGGAGCCAGTGGCAGGATTTCCTTCCTGGCTGAAGCTGAATAACGTTCCGTTGCAGGGGTGGACCACGGGTAGCTTATCCGTCATCCATCTATAGACACTCAGCTTGCTTCCACCTTTCAGCTCTTGAATTGATGCTACTATGATCATGGGTGTGCAAACATCTCTTTGAACTTCTGCTTTCAATTCTTTTGGGTTATACACCCAGTGTGGAATTGCTGGATCGTATGGTAGTTTTATTTCTAATTTCTTGAGGACCCTCTGTACTGTTCTCCACGGCAGCTGCACCATTTTCCATTCCCACCAACAGTGCATAAGGAAGGGCTCCAGTTCTCCACACCCCCTTCAACACTTGTGTCATTTTCTGGGGTTTTCATGGCAGCCATCCTCATGGCTGTGCAGCAGCATCTCGCTGTGGTTTTGCTTTGCATTCTCCTAAGGACCAGAGATGTTGAGCACCTTTTCATGTGTGTGTTGACCATTTGGACGTTTTCTTTGGAGAAGTGTCTATTCAAGTTCTTTGCCCATTTTTTATTGGGCTGTTTGGTTTTTTGTTGTTGAGGCGTAGGAGTTCTTTATATATTGTGAATATTTAACCCTCATCAGATGCGTGATTTGCAAATATTTTCTCCCATCCTGGGAGATGTAACACTTCGTGGCTCATTGAACTTTTAAAACCCAGCACTCCCCCAGAGCTGCACTGTTCAGGGCATTAGCCATTAGCCACGTGTGGCAACTTACATGATAAGATTGAAACGCTGACCACATGCCAGGCGCCCCAATAACACAGGTGCTCGGGGGCTGCCAAACAGGCGGTGCAGATGGAAAACGCGCCCGTAGCAGGAAGTCCCGTTGGGTGGCTGTGCTCCAGGGAGCAGAGCTGAAGGTGGTCGTCCACGTGTGTCCGGTCCTCCGTCTCTTCTGTCTCTCGGCCCTGCTCCCGCTGTCCCTTCCTCTGTGGCCTTGGACTGGCCTCCTCGCTCGCTCCTGTGCCCGTCTCTTCTGCACACAGCGGTCAACGGGATGTTAAAGAGAAAGATCTCGGGAGGCCCCACGTGTTCACAGCCCCTCTCTCTGGGCCACGCCTGCTCCTTCCTGCAGAACCCGGGACCCGGCCCTGGTCTGCGGGGGACGTGCCCCCCAGTCCCTTTCCCCACTCGTGGGCCCTGCTGTCCCCCTCGGCCACCATCGCGGTATCGTTCCTCCTTTTGGCAAATAGGGGGTGACCCACAGAAGTGCTGTTCCCACCTAGTACTTACTGAGCACCCAGAATACATGGTGAACAAG